TTATTTTAACTTAAAGACCAATGTAATAGGACAGACTGGGTTTTAAACAGACTATGTAGTTGGCACTCAGTAAACCTTGCTTGAATTGTTTGGAAATGTCTGCGTCGTGAGGGTTTATTGCTCTATCATCGGCATCCAGGGGCGTTCTATACCCACTCTAGTGATGCTGCTGTTGCTGAAGGCGTTTGGATTCTCCTTGGAGGCTGGCTTTTAGAGAAATCGGTAGTTCCGTTGAATATCCTCCGTGATGCCATATCTTTATTCTCTGAGAAGCACTTTGATTTTTGGGAACAGCCAGAGTGATGAAATCTGGTTTCTAATACGAGTAGTCAAATTGGGTAACACTGTATTTTGGATTTGTAAAAGGGAATACTGTCTTCCTAAAACTGGGACGGCAGATCTACTTTAATGGCCATTTCTCTAATTTTACACATATATTTACACCTATGCAAATGATGTTTGTCACAGTTTAATAATTACATCATCATTTCAAGAGGAAAAAGTGGAAACAATCTAAATTTACTACTAGGTGACCAGTTAGATAAACTGTGAGCAACCATAGAATAGAACACTCTGAAGCGCAAGAAAGGAATGAGAAAAATTCTGTATGTATTAATAATAAATTAACTCCTAGATATATTAAGTGAAAAAGCAAAAGGCAAAACAAAGTATGTAGTATACTATCATCTGTAAAGAAGATGCCTGTATAGTGAGTGTGTGTCTGTGTCTATGTGTTTGCTCATGTATGCATAAGGTGCACAATAAACTGGGCATGTGGTTTCCTCCAGGGAGGAGAACTAGATGGCTGGGGTCAAGAGCAGGTGAGCAGCTTTTCCAGGACTGTCCTTTTGTACCTTTTGAATTCTAAAACCATCTGACTGTGACCTAATGAAACATAAACTTTAAAAGTCCCAAACTGAAAAGATGATGATGTCCTCCCCTTACAAAATTAAAAATAAAAACAATGTTAACACTTAGAAAACCTATTCTGTAAAAGAATTCTGTGTATTTCCTGGCCAGTAACACAATTGTTAGAATAAATGTACAATGTACCAGGTGACATGTGGAAGGGGACAACAGAAGGGGGCAATGACAGGCACTTGTGAAAATATTCGCCTTTTTCTTAATCATGTCTTGTTCCTCTTCTCATCCTTGCTTCATTTCACAAATAGGGGAACTGAGTCCAGGTAGGTGAAGTGACTCATCAGTGCCACCTGGGCTCTTGGTTCTAATGCTTGCCTTGTTAGAGAGGGGATTTCCAGACTGCTCCTGCAGCTCTCTCTGCTAGGATGTGGTAGGAGTGAGGGGAGGAGAGGGTGGCAGATCCTCTTTCATTTGGCCTTAAACGTACCTCCCTCTTTGCCTCTCACCCTGAGCAGGTCTGGCGTCTGAGGCCAGTGAACACCTGTGGTGGTGGCTGTGGGACAGCATCTTCCCCTGCTCTTTCTCTTCCTTCTTCCCCTTGGCCACCCACACCCAGGCAGGTGTCCTCGCCAACCCCAGGACACTGCTTTTGATGTTTCAAAGGCACGTGTCCTCTTTTTCTGAAATTGACATTACCCAGTTCAGTATCACCTACTTTACCAGAGTACTTTGGGCTCTTTCAAATCAATTTCTGCTTCAAAGGATAAAGAGTTGTCATCAGCTAAGAGGTTCAAAAGTCTTTGGTGTAGGCTCTCCAAAATTCTGGCAGAGGTCAGGTGACCCTGGCTTTTATAAAGGAGTTTGGCATTCATTCATTCATTCATTGAAGAAATATGTATTGGACCTATTCATTGCATGAGGCACTTTCTAGGCACTGGGGATGAAATGTTGGCCAAAACAGATAAGGTCTCTGTTCTTATAAAGCTCACATTCACGTGATGAGAGGCTGACAGTAATCAAGCAAACAAATAAATGATCAAGGTAACTTCAGATACTAATAGATGAGAGGGCGATGTGACAGATAGGGGCTGGGGAGCCACCTTTGGACTTGTGCTGAATTCTATCTGAAGATACCTTCACTAAGAGAGAGGTGCTGTCTCCATGGCTTTTGAGGCCCTCCCCTCCAGTGGTGAGATTTTAACAATCTCCCCATCTGACAGGTTCTCATGCAGGAATGAAAGACATGGAGGGGAAGAGGGGGGCCAGCTCCCTGAGTCCTGTGTCCACCAGCTGCTGCTAAATACCTCTCAGAAACTCTGCTTCTAGCTAAGGGGACCTGCTGCTCTCGGGAATCTCAATACTTGGAACAAGAACCTCGTGGATGGACCCTTTGGCAAAATGAATTGGACCAACCATAGGTTCCAGGACTGGAGAGCCAGCAATGCCTCCCTGGACAATCCCACTCAATTACTCTGCTCAGGTAAGGCCAACTGAAAACCAGACCAATACAAATGGTTGCTATTCCTGTTTTTTGTTTGTTTGTTTGTTTGTTTGTTTTTGTGACAGGGTCTTGCTCTGTCATCCAGGTTGGAGTACAATGGTGTGATCATGGCTTACTACAGCCTCGACTTCCCTAGCTTAAGTGATTCTCCTATCTCAGCCTCTCAAGAAGCTGGGACTACAGGCATGCAGCAGCACACCCAGCTAATTTTTGGATTTTTTTTTTTTTTTTTTTTTTTAAGTAGAGGCAAGGTCTAGTCTAATATTGCCCAGGCTGGTCTCAAACTCCTGAGCTCAGGCGGTCCTCCTGCCTCGACTTCCCAAAGTGCTGGGATTATAAGCGTGAGCCACTGCGCCTGGCTTGTTGTTACTGTTAAATAATAGTCTGATCACTGAGTTCTTAAACAACTCCATGAGGTAGATATTCATATTCTGTCCATTTCACAGATGAGGCTCAGAAAGGTTAAGTGTTTGTCCTAAGATCACAGTTAGGAAGTGTCTGAGACCTAGGTCACTGAACTTTAAATCTCAGGCACTTTCATGACATCCTCCTTTGTTCTTCTCGCCCCTACCCACCTCCTCTGCCTGCCCAGGATAGGTACTTGCCTTTCTAGCCCTGGATAGACACCCTCATGCTGTGTCCCCCTTGCTGTAAACAGGTGTGCTCCACTCCCACCAGCCTCCCGCAGCTGGTGACCCAAGTTCCCCTCTCATTGCTCAGGGCTTATGTGTGTCATCTGCCCCACCCCACTCCCCCATACATCATGCCCTGTGACTTGGTGCCTCATCTTGTGTGATTCATGGCTGGTGCCCTGGGCACTGGGAAGATCTGGTTTCCAAGACCCCTTCCTACCCTCCATCCAGTAGCTGTCAAAGGGAAACTTGGTGAGGTCAGCTATGTCACTCAGAAGGGAGACAGGGAAAAAGGCAGAAAGGAAGGGAGCTGTTAGGATACCCAACAGTATTCCATCTGGCCTTGGTGCCCCCAAAGACTGTAAAACTTGGTATTTGTGTTCCCAGATGCAATTTATCCAAGGTGGCTAATAAATTGCCCTAGTGATCCAATGAGTTCCTCCCACCCCACCTTGGCTGCAGTCTCTGCATTGTGCAGCCAGCTCCTCAAGACATGTGGTCTGAGAGGTGCTATCTGCTATCGTTGTAACCAAGCGAGTTATAGAGAAACGCCACACTCTGAGATGAATTCAGGAGTCCTTTATTAGTTGGCGACAAGCGAGTTATAGAGAAACGCCACACTCTGAGATGAATTCAGGAGTCCTTTATTAGTTGGACTGAGAGACTGCTAGAGCTCAAAATTCAGCTCTGAAGAAGGGGCTAGACTTTCTTTTATACTTTGGTTTAGAAAGGGGAGGCTAGTTAAAACAATCTTACAGAAGTAAGCAAAAAGTTAAAAGGATAAATGGTTACAGGAAAGCAAACAGTTCCAGGTGCAGGTGCAAGGGTTTTAAATCTATCACAAGGTGATAGATGCTGGGCTTTGGGTGCTATCAACCGGACACAAACGCAGGGGCTCTGGGTGCTATTAACTGGGTGAATTCCTGGGAACTGCGGATACAGCTTGCCACAGTATCTTATCAGTTAATTGCATTTTAGATGTGCTGGGAGTCAGCTTGCACAAGTTAAGTCCTTGAGGAAGGAGGTTGGTAAGGGGCTGCAAGTGAAGGAGCCAAGATGGAGTCTGTCTGGCTATCCTAGCTGAGAGTCAATTCAGGTTAAAACAAGGTAGGGTATCACACTATAAGGGCTGAATCATGCAACTTCACTTTATGGGGAATAAACAGGAAGGAGCCTGAATGCAGGTAAAGAGAGCTTTGGGTTTGGAGTCAAAATGTGGACTCCAGTACTGGACTACAGTATTTGCCTCAGGCAAGTGCCTTCCCCTGAGATTCCTCACCTATACAATGGGAGAGTTTAAGATACCTTCTAGCTCTGAGAATCTACAGATGGAATGTGGCTGGAGAGGGGATGGGCTTTGTGTCTCCATCCCTGGAGGCAGGAGAAATTCTTTCCCGGTGTGAATAATTCTCCCCTTCCCCACCAGAGCATGGGCACGCTTTCACGCCTGTCACCTTTTCCTAGTCATAGCTCTGCTGGCCTTGCCTATGTCCTGATCCTGTCAACCCTTTCACGTGCCCCTCCCAAAATGCTGGGATTACAGGCGTGAGCCACTGCTCCTCCCCCAGGTACCTAGCACTGCACCATCCTGGCTATCTCTTTTTCTGGACCTCCTATCATATCTGCTAACCCTTGGTAAGAATGGTAGAGCTCTGGAGTGAACCAATCACATGGAGGCAGCAGAATGTACTGTGTATGAACACACGATTTAAAGTCAGAGAGATGGAGGTTTACGTCCGAACTCTGCCACTTATCAGCCCTATAACTCTGAGCAAGTGTGATCCCCGAGAGCTGTTTTTCTTTAGTGTATAATAGGAATAATGATTGTTCCTATCTCAAGTCTATTTATGAAGATTAAACAAGATAATGAAGGTGCCCAGTATATATTAAGTTCACAATAAACAGTAGTTAATATTACCATTTAGGATTCTGTAGAGCTCGTTTGCATGGGTGTGCAAGAATTACCTTCATATCTCCTTCATATTACTTTCCTCTCCTTTCCCTTACGCAGAGAACATCACCACCCTGAAGTCAGAGACTAACCCTGAAGGACTCAGCAGGTGGGTGAGAGAAGGGCTGGACCCATGAAGGAGGAAGGTGGGCTCCTAGGGAAGGGATCTGTGGGGACTGGTGTGAATGGGGCCACGACTGTGGAGGCTAGAGCTGAAGAGAGGGGCTAAAATGGAGGCAGGAGATGGTTGGCCACTAAGGAGGTGGAAGCCTGGAAGTGGGAGAGCTCCTACAGGGGCGAGGAGGCCCCAGGGCACTTTTGTGGAGGGTCACCAAAGCCAGCCAGAGCAGCTGGATGATCCTCATGTCTCTTGGTTGCTTCCTTCAGTCTAAGCACAGCAGCCACAGCCCTTTCTGGCTCCATTGCTGTGGTGGCCCTCATCTTGCTCCTAGTGGGTCTCTTGTCCATGACCCTGAAGAAATGGAGGCATGAGAGTGAGTTGAACAAGCTGGCCCTGGAACTGGGAATGAAGAGAGGAGAAACTGGGGGCAGAGACTGGGGTGTCTTTCCTATGGGCAGCCTTGTCGGAGTGGGGGGCAGGTAGTGGGAGGGTAATATGAAGGAGATATGAAGATGAGACCTCTTCTGTAGAGTTGTTGGGGACTCTGCACAGCAATAAGACTTACTCATCACACAAGTTCTTCATGCTGAAAGCGATATATAGTATAAGCCAGCTGCATATATGCTTATGGTCTACATGCCTCAGCTAAAAGAAATATTGATGCCAAATAATCTCTTCTAAATCATAAACAAAATTATAAATTATAAAGTGTACTCATTTCTCCTGTGTCTTCCTGGGAATTTAACTTAGTCTCAGAGGCCCAATAGGCTGAGTGAGGTGGATTTTGCCTTTTGAAGTTAAGCCCTAAATCCAGCAAACAACTGAGTAAAGATGGTTATTAACCCAACACAGACTGACTCTGAGTTTATCCATTTTTCTAGGACTATTTAAAAAACAACTGAGGCATCAGGCCAACTTTCCCCACAAGTCCTCGGTAAGGAGCTAGTCCAGTCGCACGTAGAGGGGGGCTCCTGGCCTCCTTGCTGCTTCCTACCTACCTAGACCCCACAGAGAGGGTGGTGGGATGAGGCAGGGGGCAGATCTGGAGGAAATGTTTCTGAAAACAGATCTAGGGCTTGTGCAGCAAGAACTCAGCATTCTACTTGCTGTCCTGTAGGGACAGCCTAGTGCCTGGTTTTGTCTTTGGGAGTCCCTGGCGCCCAGCGGTCTGCCTCTAACCAGGGTTCTGTCTCTAAAGGATCTTTCCCGCCATGCTGATGCCATATATTCCAACATGATCAACCTGGCCCCCCAGAAGGAGGACGACTTTGCTGTCTATGCCAACATGCCCCCTTTTCATCACCCCAGGAGGACATCGCCAGACCAAGTGGAATATGCCTCCATTGTATTCCTGATGGGAAGCCAACGAGATGCTCAGAGTGGGGGTCAGACCTGGCCCAGCTGGATCGTGGCATACCCTTTGCTTTAGATTTATGTGTGTGTTAAAAAAAATACATAGTCTGGGAGCGGTGGCTCACACCTGTATCCCAGCACTTTGGGAGGCTAAGGCAGGCAGATCACGAGGTCAAGATATCGAGACCATCCTGGCCAACATGGTGAAACCCCGTCTCTACTAAAGATACAAAAATCGGCCAGGCATGATGGCACATGCCTGTAATCCCAGCTACTTGGGAGGCTGAGGCAGGAGAATCAACTGAACCCAGGGGGCGGAAGTTGCAGTGAGCCAAGATCACACCACTGCACTCTAGCCTGGCAACAGAGTAAGACTCCATCTCTAAAAAAAATAAATAAATAAAATAAAGCAAAAAACAAAAAAACATAAAAACATATTCTGATGGAGGTGGATGGCTGGACATTTCTTCTAATTTATTAGAATCAAAGTACAGTTCTAAGAGGAAGGAGTGACATACAAGAGACACAGGACATGCTCATCCAGACCACCCCCAGCCCCAGAGGCACGGGGTGAGACAGACTGGCCAATAAGGGAACCCTCTGAGCTCCTGCCCCTCCTGGGGCAAAAGGGCTGAGGAGGGGGATTCAGACCATTTCAGGCCCAGCTGCTTTTGTCTCTCCAGTCTTGCCCTATCAGGAGTTAACACCCCGTGGAAGTCAACTTAGGAGTCATGCTCATGTCTGTGATCAAGTGCGTGGCTGACTGCCTGCTGTGTCTGTACAGTACAATTGCTGGACAATATGCCAGGTGTAGGGGAGGAGGCACAGCGGGGCTGCAGGTGCCTGGGAAGTGCTTCTTACTGAGGAATTGGTGAGCTCCCAGGAAGCATGGGGGCCACCTGAGAAAGAGGGCAGGGAAGGAGTGCCAAGCGGGAAGTGGGCTGTGTGTCATCGCTGGCCAGAGACAGCTCCCGTGGGAACTGTGGTAGACGACTGGAACTTTACAATTGATTCACTCCTTCTTTTCATCATTCACAAATACTCATTAAGCACTTCCATGATCTAGGTCCTGGGAATATAGCAGTGAACCCAACAGACAAAGCCTTGTCCTCACAGAGCTTACCTTCTAGAATGAACAAAGAAACACACAAACGCACAAAATGTCAGATGGTGGGATATGCTATGGGGAAATAAAGCAAGCATTCTCTACCCTACACTTCCTTGTAAGAGGTGAGAGTGGGTTGCTAGTTTGTATCAGGTGTTCAGGGAAGGCCTCACTGACATCTGACCTAAAAAAAAGGTAAGAATGTGACACCTGATGATAAATAGGGAAAGAGTATTTCAGACAGGAGGAAAGGCAGTGCAAAGGCCCTGAGGTAGACAGGTACCTGGCATGGTCAAAGAAAAGCGAGGAGGTGAATGTGTCTGGAGTGGAGCTGGGGGATCGCAGGGGTCAGAGCAACGATGTGGAGGGAGTCAGGGTTCTTCACTATTAGGAGGGGGCTTGGAAAATGGAAAGTTTCCAGCATGGCTTGTGTTTTGAAAAGATTTTTCTGTATTGAGCCAGACTGTAGGGGCGAGAGTGGAAGTAGAGAAGGTAGTAATGCAGGAATGCCCAGTGGTTAAACCCTCAAAACAAAAGGACTTGCATGCTTCTCTGGAGACAGCTAGAAGGCAGGACACCAGGCAGAAGAGAGAAATCCATATTGAGATCAGTCTCTGGATGGCAGGGACCCCACAGACTGGACCAATGGTGGCAGTGGGAAAGGTGCCTGGGGAGGCTGGTCAAAGATTAACAAGGCCAGAAGCCTTCTACCTTGAGTCTTGCTCTGGCAACCCCACCTCTTCTTTCATCTTCTTCCACCTAGGGAGAAGTCTAATGGGCTTGATAGTTAGAGGTGGTGAGAGGATAGGGACAGGCAAGTCCTGCCTGTGGGACAACAGGGATCCGGGACTCAACAAGTCTTAAGCCTCTCGCCAGGACCAGCATGTTGGGAACACGCCTCTCCATCCACATGCGGTCTCAGAATGGGCAGCTGCTTGCCCTGTACCCTCAGCTTGGCCTGGTCTTGGTGATAGGGTGGGGAGCATGGGACATTGCACAGAAGGGGTGCGGAAGGCAGTGGGGACCCAACCATCAGTGTTTCGGTTTTTTAGTGGCCTGTATCTGCTTTAGCCAGGACTGGGCTTGGCCCCAGGACCAAAGGGACCAAAAAGAAGAACCACCGTTTAGACTGCCACAACACACAGGGCCCTGGAAGACTGCTGGCTGGATATGTTCAGCACCTTTGGTCCCTCCAGGGATTTCTGAAGATTCTCATTCAAATCAGTACCTGAGTTTGGGAATCAGTGACTGGAGACAGTGTTTCCCAGCATATTCCATGGAGAATCCATCCAGAGCCCTGGTCTTTAGAGGCATATGCCTCTGGTTCTACCACTCTCTACAATCTTGTTGCTCTTATCTGCAAATCTCTTATCTGCTAACTAGATATTCCCCTAATTTATAGGGGTGTCTACTTAAAATTATTGATAGCTATAAATTTTAAAAAAGGAGAACTTTCTTTCTTGTAAAGGGTTACAACCTGGGCCGGGCGCAGTGGCTCATGCCTGTAATCCCAGCATTTTGGGAGGCCGAGGTGGACGGATCAATTGAGGCCAGGAGTTTGCAACCACCCTGACCAACATGATGAAACCCTGTCTCTACTAAAAATACAAAAATAAGCCGGGCATGGTGGCATGCTCCTGTAACCCCAGCTACTTGGGAGGCTGAGAAAGGGGAATCGCTTGAACCTGGGAGGTCAAGGTTACAGTGAGCCAAGATTGCACCACTGCACTCCAGCCTGGGCAACAAGAGCCAGACTCTATCTCAAAAAAAAAGGGTTACAACCTGCAGACAGGGAAGTGAAGCCTCTGGCTGAAACTGAAAGCAGACACTTCAGAGACAGAAGGAAGAGGCTGAGATTTATGCCTAGTGAGATTGGCTGTACATACATATTCAGTAGGTTATAGGACAATCTTATAAATATTTATGAGGGGTCCTAATGCATGTG